TGTGTTCTTTTATATATTTTTTTATGATCATATTTTACCTTTACTTTTGGCTTATTAGTCCTCAGTAAAAAAAAAAATTTTAGTTTAGTTATTGTCTTATTTTTTTATAATATATGTCTTTAATTGATCTCAGTCTACCTTTAAATAATATTATACCACTTCATCTTATATGTCAAATTGCTCGTCATTCCTTTTTTTATTATGCATTTTACATATGTTATGAATACCACAGTATGTTGTTATTATTTTGCTTTATATCAGGAATTGGCAAGCTTGTTTTATAATTGGCCAGGTAGTAAATATTTTTGGCTTGATAGCCAATAAAATGGTTTGCTGGTCATATCTTTGTCACAGTTGTCTCTCTTAACTCTGCAATTGTTGTGAGAAAGCAGCCATAGACATTATATAAATAAATGATCATGGTTAGATTAGCCTGCAAGCATAGTTTGCTAACCTCTGCTTTAGAAAGTCAACTATCTTTTAAAATGATTAACAATAAGAAAAACATGTCTATTATATTCATCTTAATTCATACTATTTTCAGTGCTTTTCATTTCTCTGTAAGTTGCCATATGTTATCATACTCCTTCTACCGGAAGAACTACCTCGAACATTTCTTATGGTGTTTGTTTGTTAGAATAAACTTTATCAGCTTTTGTTTGTTTGAATTTACCCTTTATTTTTGGAAGATATTTTCATTGTATATGTAATGCTGTGTTAATAATAAATAGCTGGTTTCTTTTGGTATGTACTTTGAAAATGTCATTACCAAGGTATTGATAAACAAGTGTCTTCTGTTTTACTCTGACAAGAGGCAAGTTTATTTTTCTTCTGCATCCCACAGTATAGATGTACCATAATTTGTTAATTGTTTCCTTACTGGGGGATTTAGGTTCCTTCCTTCCTTCCTTTTGCTAAAAATTATGATGTAAAAGTTTTTTGCATGTAGATCTTTGTGCACATGCAAGTAGTTTTCATTGCCCAAGGAATGAGGCAAAGAAACAAGATAAGTTCATTCTTCTTCAGCTTTTTCTGTGCCACTTAATTTGTGGATGCCCTAAGTCAGTGATGGCGAACCTATGACACGCGTGTCAGAGGTGACATGCGAACTCATTTTTTTGGTTGATTTTTCTTTGTTAAATGGCATTTAAATATATAAAATATCAAAAATATAAATATTTGTTTTACTATGGTTGCAAATATCAAAAAATTTCTATATCTGACACGGCACCAGAGTTAAATTGGGGTTTTTCAAAATGCTGACACGCCGAGCTCAAAAGGTTCACCATCACTGCCCTAAGTGCTATTTAGAATATGTTTTCAGATGTCCTCTAAAAATTTCCCACCCAAACAGAAGGCATTATCATTACCCTATTGCTGTCTCTTACTTTGGAAGCGTACCCAAAAAACATCATTGCCACTGATCCCGGATTGTGTTTTGGGTTTGTGTGCAAAGTGGAAGAAGTCACGTACCAATCTGCGGGGCAATTCAGAACACAGCCTCTGATGTTTCTCAAACAAATCAAAGGCCATCATAAAATTATGTTTTTCGGATGGCATAATTACAAATAAATGAGGAAATGAAACCGTAGGCTACGAGCCCTTAATAACTGACAGTGCAGGGCCACGTGGCATTGATTTCCAAAGTAGAGGCCTTTTACGAAGCAGTGACTCTAGTCTAGATTATGTCATCCAGAGTATGGTAAGCACATTCTGTGCATATCATTTGTCATCTAAAAATAATTCCCCTCTTCATGGTTTATTTTTCCTTTATGGCACATTCTGAATTCCAGATTTTTTAAATCTGCCATTTGGTTTTCCATAAACTATCAGGCAGGACCTCTGTGAGATTCTCTGCTTTGAGGAACTATCTGCATAATATTTATTTCTGATATGTGACTCATAATTACATTGTCATGATATATCCCTTATCTTCAAAATGGCATCTGATAATTCAGTACCTTTTTAACAATAGACAAAGTGTTTCCTAAAGCAGCGGTCGCCAACCGGTGGTCCGTGAGGTCCAAAAGGTTGGTGACCGCTGTTCTAAAGACTTTTTTTCAGAAATCCAAATGTTTCTTGGGGCCCTTTCCAAGAAATATACCATGTATCTTTGACATTTATTTTTATCTATATATCTTTATTTTTTAATCCTCACCCGAAGATATTTTTCCATTGTTTTTAAATAGAGTTGAAGGGAGGTGGAGGGAGAGAGAGAGAGAGAAAAAAAACATTGATATGAGAGAGACACATTGATTGGTTGCTTCTTGCACATGCCCCTACCAGGCTAGGGATCGAGTGTGCAATTGAGGTATATTCTCTTGACTGGGAATCGAACCTGCGACCCTTTGGTGCGTAGGCCGACTCTCTAAACCAGTGATGGCGAACCTTTTGAGCTCGGCCTGTCAGCATTTTGAAAAACCCTAACTTAACTCTGGTTAAGTAATTTCTATATCACATATAGAAATTTTTTGATATTTGCGAAAAATCAACCAAAAAAATGAGTTCACGCATGTCATAGGTTCGCCATCATGTTCTAAACTCTGAGCAATCCAGCCAGGGCTCTTTAGCATTTTTAAATTTGAGGACTAAGCCAAAATTCCCATAACGTTTTTGTTTGAATTTTGACTATATAATTTTTAAGGTGGACATTTGCATTTACTCAATACTCATCCTTGTTTAAAACTTTAATTGCTCAGATGTCCTTAAGCTTATAGTAGATTGGCCAGCTTTGGTGACATCTCTCTGGCCTTTGAGGTTGGCACAGTCCAATATAGCTGTCTCAGGGATGTGTGGCCATGGAAAAACATATTTTGGTTGTTGAGTGTTTTTGCTTTCTAGTAATTTTATTTTCTGCTCCAGGGATTTAATATCTGTTCAGATAATTTATTTTTTAAGGCCACATAAGTAATGACTTGAGCTCTAATCTTAGCTTTGGAAATTTCCCAGACACTAATAAAGATAATGTCTGATGACCTTTTATTTAAGAATACTACTCACTGGCTAGCAATCAGTGCTATTTAAAAATATATATTTACTCTAAAAATGATTTTCTACCTGGCCAGTGTTTCTCAGTGGTTAGCGCATCAGCCTGCTCACCAAAGAGTTGTGGATTCAGTTCCTGATCAAGGGCACGTGCCTAGTTTGGGGGTTCGTTCCCTGCCCTCGTTGGGGCTAGTGCAGGAGTCAGCTAATCGGTACATCAATGTTTCTTGCTCTCTCCCTCACCCCTACCTCCCTTAAAAACAATGGAAGGGATATCCTCGGGTGAGGTTTAAAAAAAATTAAAAAAAACACACAAAAAAATGATTTTCATAGTTAAAAGACTTTCTTAGAAAAATCATGCATGTAATGACCTGATTTGGTGACTCTTGGGCCTAGATTTATAATACTTTTTACATGGTGTCATTGAGACTTAGTACCATTCTAAACAACTCTTCTCTACAACTACTGTACCAAATACAGATGCTCTTCAACTTAAAATGGGGTATGTCCCGATAAACACATTCTAAGTTGAAAATATAAATTGAAAATGCATTTAATACATCTAACCTAAACATCGTAGCTTAGTCTAGCCTACCCGTGCTTAGCCTACCTACAGATGGGCAAAGTCATCTAACACATAGTCTATTTTATAATAAACTGTTGGGGGCATCCAGGCTGGCAGGGGGGGCAGTTAGGGGCAACCAGGCCAGCAAGGGGGGGCAGTTAGGGGTGACCAGACAGGCAGGCAGGTGAGCGATTAGGAGCCAGCAGTCCAGGATTGTGAGAGGGATGTCTGAACTGCTGGTTTAAGCCTGATTTCTGGTGTCCTGGAATGGAGAGGATGCAGTCTGGGCTGAGGGGGCCCCCCCCCCCCCCGAATTTCGTGCACCGGGCCTCTAGTGTCTATAGTAACAGACCCTCTTGCTAAGAACCTATCAAGACAGTGTTTTGTGAGGTTGGTAGAGGAAACTGCATATTGCTACTTTGATATGTTTTCTTGTTTGGCTTTTCATTAAGAGATGTTTAGTTCTTTATTAGAAACTCCTATGTTATGTACAAAGAGAAGAAACAGTTCACTTAATTAATTGTAATCTTTAATTGAAATCTGTTATAGCCTAGTTCAGTGATGGCGTACGCCATCACTGGCCTACTTTTAGGACAGTCCTAAAAGAGATTTGAGTAATTGAGGTTTTCCCTTAGTTCCAGTAGAAGGGAAGTATCTCAGTTCACTTACTTGAGGCTATAAAGTAATTTGTTCTTCCTTTCCCTGCAGCAAGAATTATAAACATAAAGTCACAGAACAGATTCAGTGTTAATTTTTAAAGCTTCCCCATATTTCCACCCTCATCTGTTGTAAATAATATGTCTGACTATAAAATGGAAAAAGTTGAAATTTTCCACTGGTGCATTTTGAGCTTTTCAGAGGTATTGTACACTCTGGAAATAATAATAAAAGATACTAGACTTTATACAGTGCTTTTTGTGTTAGGAACTCATATAAACACTAATGCATTGATCCTAACACAGTACTTGATTGTAACTTTAAAAGGTCATGAGTTACTGCTGTTACAACAATAAAATAAAATAAAAGATTGGAGAGAGAGTTCTAATTTATAAATATTGTTTAAAAAATATCCAGATAAAAGTTGATACAGATAACTGGAAAAATAAAAATTATGGGGGATTTTTATTATTTGTTAACTTTTCTCTTAGCCTGTAATAGATTTTTATCCCTTTATATTTTTTCTCCACTTATTTATGAATTTACTTGAAGCCTGATTTGATTCTCTTCTTAGATAAGAAGGCAAAATTTACTTTTAAGCTTTTATTCCTTCTCTGCCAATAAGGTTTAAACCTGTGGTGATTTTTGGAGTTTGTCACATTAACATAACAATGCATGTTATTAGTCCTAAATTGGGAGATTGTTCCTTTAGCTTCCTTAGTTTAATATTTGTTGATTTTGATGAATTAAGTGGTCATGTGGCTTCATCTTCAACTTTTTTTGTGTTTTGTAGGTTTATTCTTCAGTCCAAGGAGGTAATTCACAGTCAGCTGTTAGAGAAACAGAAAATAGCAGAGGAAAAAATTAAAGAATTGGAAGTAAGTTTTGAGTGAATATTGACAGTAAGTAGCCAACTTTTAGAAAATAGTAATTATCTCATTGTGTCATATTAAATGAAATGTATGCCTGCTAAAGTCATGCCATTATGTAATTTTTTTCTAATTGTGTTAGAGCTATGAAGCAGTCAAATTAATGGCAGTGTATAAGACACAAAAAAGTGTCTAGAAACTAGGGAATTTTGAAGAAGATAGGATGCTGTTATTCTGAGTGTATTTTCTCCTTTGCCTTTGAATGAATATATCTGTTTTTAAAATACAAAAATAACACAACATGTATTTAACCACTGCATATTGTACCTGGTAGGGTATGAGCATGGCTAATGATAATACTTAAAGGATCTTGATATACTAGTATGTCTCTTTTACACATTGTAATTACTTTAACATAGATTGGGTTCTAGACAAGGACTGATTATTGAGCTATAATTAATTAACTATCTGAAGGATAGTGCTCTGATGAGGAAAACAAATTATTATTTTTTAGGTAGGGAAAATGATTAGTATAGGTAAAAGTAGCTTAGTAAATCTTTGGAAAATTGAAGTTTATTATTAAAATGTCCTTATACATTCAGACTTTTGATGAGATACTCTTCTTGGGCTGTGGTGAAAGGTGCATTCTGTTTATAGCAGAAGTTGGACTGGACAAAAAACTGGTTATTATATCCTTGGGAACAAGATTTCCTGAGATGGGGTGGATACAGTGACTTCATAGGTCACTTTATCTAATTTGTGTGAGTACCACTGGAGGCAGTGGTTCAGAATCTGACTCAGCCCTCTGCTGAATTGGTGAGACACCCCCTAGCCTGCTGGGGATTTCTCAGGGGCACTGACTTGGCGTGGCCAGGGTGAGCATGTAGTGTCTTAGGTTACTTAGGCTGATTTTTGTTTGACTACTGATGATAATTTAAACAAACTTGATAATAGTTTTATAGTTTAGAAAGATCTATTGTGAAAACAAAACAAATAAGCAAGCAAACAAAACAAAAAAGAAAGAACTGTTTCCTGCAGTAATCAGGTTGTTATTGTGTCCTGTTTTATCATTTTTGTCAGCCAATTGTTCTAGATAGAATTTTATATTCTCTAGGGTTTTCAAACAAAAGTACTGTATCTTAACTCCAATCACAACTGTTTCATGTAGATAAAAAATGTGATTTTGCAATGGTAGGTAAATATATCTAAAAATTGTCCTGATGAATAAGTAGCAAGATGCAAAATAATGTGTATATAATTCTCTTATGATCTCTGTGTTGGATAAATTGTAACAAATATGTGTTAACTTTTATAATTTAAAAAATTGTCAAGGAAAAATTGCCCCAGATGATTATTTTAGCATACTATCAGTTCTAATGAGTAGTAGGAAATTTATTTTCTAAACGTTTCTTTCATAGAATCTCACATACTAAGTATCCTGATATCTGTCAGATAATAGAAGTAGATTAGCTGGCTTGTTGGTACCTGTTTGAAATGCTAATTATAGCTATAAAAAACTAGCAGTTAAACTCTAGCCTCTACCCTAGGAAGTTATTTTCTCTTTAATCTTTCATTTTACTGTTATTTATATTATAAAAGCCATATAAGTGCATTATGGAAATGAAAAAGTCAGAAAAGAAAACAAATGATAAAATGGAAATATAACCTTCCCCTCTTCCCCGCACACTCCCATATGCCACCTCTGCAGTAGTGTGTGTCATTCCAAACTTTATTTTATAAACACATTCATACACATATATACACACTTTTAAAAAAAAGTAATGAGCAATCTGTATATATTGTTCGTCATTTGATAACTTATCTTTCTACTTAGTGATATAAATTTAGTTTATATGTAATAAAATTTAAAATTTTTTTAAGTATTTCAGAGAGAAGGGGAGAGGGGGAGAGAGAGAGAGAAACATCAATGATGAGAGAGAATCATTGATCGGCTGCCTCCTGCATGCCCTCCTCCTGGGGATTGAACCTGCTACCTGGGCATGTGCCCTGACTAGGAATTCAAACCTGACCTCCTGATTCATAGGTTGATACTCAATCACTGAGCCACACTGGCCGGGCTACATTTAATTTGTTTTTCATTTCTCCTACCATTGTAGGTTTCTTATTACCTCAACATTCAATTATTCTATGATCCCTACCTCTACATTTTGTATACTCTCCAATACTGCCCTATCATGTTTTGTTAATAGTATCACCCAGTACATACTGTGTCTTCCCTGAAACAATCCTGTACTTTTCCACTGCTATACCTTTAGAACTTTGTTACTTCAGCCTGAAATATATGCATGTGTACACACCCACGTGCACTTATACACACAAACATTGGTAATTATAGTGTTCGATTTTCTTTCGCTTATTCAGTTTAGTTATTTAGAGAGATGCATTAAATCTCCCTCTATGGTGATGTTTATCAATTTCTCCTTAGTGGGCAATGGTATTTAGAGACTATTATCTGGGTGCTGTAAGTGCTCATTATTACTGTGCACATAGTTCGGAGGGTATGTTTCATTTTGCTTTATATGTTTAGGAATATCTCAGCTTTTTTAAAGATAACATTCCACTGACTTCCATTGTTGCTATTGAGAAGATATCAGTTTAAGTGTTGTTCCTTTGTTTATTTTCTCTCTGGCTACTTTTAATGTTCTCTCTCTTTCTTTAAAAATAAATCTTTATTGTTGAACATATTACAGATGCCCCCTCTTCCCCCCCTCTATTGACCCCCCTCTCTCTTTTTCTTTAATGCTTTGTAGTTTCTCTGGGATATGTGTAGGTATGAATTCAGTCTTTTTATTTTTTTCCTTTGCCCTACTTGGATTAAGTTGAGTTTTCTGAATCTGAGGATTAGTGTCTTCCATCAATTCTGGAAAGTTCTTATTATCTCTGAATATTACTTTCCTGTTTTCTCTATTAAATGGTATTTTCTTCAGGAATTTTTCCTCCCACCTTTAAACCAGCTACCCCCACATCTTCAATAGATTCTTAACTGGTTTTCCATCTCCAGCTTTCCCCCTTCCAGTTCTTTTAACATATTTAGATTAGAATGAGTTGGAGGGGCTCATCCTTCCTTGGCTCTTTTTCTTTTTCTTTTTTTAAAAAAAAATATTTTTATTGATTTCAGAGAGGAAGGGAGAGGGAGGGAGAGAGAGAGAGAAACATCAATGATGAGAGAATCATTGATTGGCTGCTTCCTGCATGCCCCACACTGAGGATCGAGCCAGCAACCCAGGCATGTGCCCTGACTGGGAATCGAACCGTGACCTCCTGGTTCATAGGTCGAAGCTCAACCACTGAGCCACGCTGGCTGGGCCCTTCCATGGTGCTTGTCAGATGAGTGACAAAGCAGTGCTGAAACAAAGCAAGTGAATTTATTAAGGAAGCAAAAAGCAAGCAGATTTATTAAGAATACACTAGGCATAAAGCATAAGCGGGCAACTCAGATAGTTTGAATGCCACACCTGGTAGGGGTTCAAGTCCCCCCCCCCCCCCCCCCCCGACCTTGGTTACTCACATCACTTGCCAGGTGGACTAGATTTTAAGGTTCCCCTTTTACATTGTTGTGGCTTTTCCCAGAATGTATGAGAACATCTGGTGATTTTATCTTGGAAGTACCAAGACTGCTGACTTCTTAGTTCAGTAGGTGAGATAAACTCCCCCCTGTAACCCCTTTCCCTTCCTCCTGCCCTAGCAGCTATCTGTCCTGCCTTACATTTATCCCAACCAACCAGATGCTTTGGGGGTTTTTGTTATTTGTCCCCCAGACTTCATCTGTCCTTGGGTTTATCTGGCACAAATGCCATTAATTGGATCTTTGTTCTCTTATTTTTCCAGGCCAGGGTGATTTAAGCTATACATTCTCTGTCAGGGAGGAGAGGTATAAATCATTTGCTCTAAGTGCTCTTGGTTGGGAAAGATAAAGTCTTGTAATTCACAAGCTGGCTGCAAACCGCCCCGACTGTTTGGCCTTGTTTAATTTTCTTGTCTCAGTTTCCCCATTCCACTTGTCCAGGAATTTTCCTAGCTTCTTACTATCCCGGCACAATATCACTCCTCTTTGTAAAACCTATCATTGTTTTTAGAGTAAAAGTTCAAACTTAAATATACCTTTAAGTTTCTTTATGAAATTACTCCTATTTATTGTCCTCATCTCTCTCATTCCTCTGCTTTCTCTTACACTGTATGCTTCAGCCATGCAGAAATATTCTGTTTTTAGAACTTGCTGTGCTTTCTGTGTTTCTACTAGGTCTTTGCAAAAGTAGTTCCCTCTAACTGGGAACTTCTTCCTGCCCTTACCACCAGCTCCATCTATTAATCTTTAGGATCTTAGTTTAGGGCTGTTTCTCTTGAGAACCATTTTCTGATTCCTCAGTTTTAAATTGGGTGCTTTTTCCTTTTTCTCCCCAGTTTTATAGCGCAATGTGGGAATTTGGGCATTTGAGCTATTACTAGTTGAAATAATTACAACCATGGTTTCCTATTACTTTGCGAAACTAGATATAGATTTAGAGCTCTAAATAGTTTTTCCCAAAGCATACCAATTGTTGTTCCTCCTTCAAAATATGCAGTCTCTTCTTCTGGGCCCCAGTATTTTTGCCAGTCTAACCTGTTTTATCTTAATCCTGTTTAGTTATCATTAGCATGTTAATTTCTGCCCTCAGATTCCTTACAATTAAATTGGGAGGCATGCCCGGCTGGTGTGGCTCAGTGATTGAGCACTGACACATGCACCAAGTGTTCCCGGTTCAGTTTCCAGTCAGGGCACATGCCCGGATTTCTGGATTTCTGGCCAATCCCTGGTGGGGGCCATGGAGGAGGCAGCCAATTGATATTTCTCTCTCTTCAGTGTTTCTATCTATCCCTCTTTCTCTAAAATCAATAAAAACATATATATTTTTTGAAATTGGGAAGGTACGGTGTATACATGACTCGCAAACAAGGGCCAGACTGTTTCTGTTTAGCATCTTACTCACCTTTGAAGGGCTAAGGTTGTT